CAATGGGCACACATTGTCCTTTATATAAAGAACAGATCTAGCCCCAGACTCACCTGGTGTCTGAATAAAGCGGTGAGGGATCTGTATACAGTGCAGTGTATGTATATGTATATGTATATGTATATGTATATGTATATGTATATGTATATGTATATGTATATGTATATGTATATGTATATGTATATGTACCAGACCCCGCCCTCCAATAACGGTGCAATACCCGCCCAATCGCGGTAACCCCGCCCATCGCCAAGAAAACTCCTCCCATCAACACCTGAGTGAACCGAGGGGCGGGGCAGAGGTCACATGGCTCAATGAGGCTCAGGTTGCTCGTCAAACTCGGGACACGGGGATGGAGGGGGACAGCAGCTGGAGCCCCGCCCACTAGCTTGTAGGAAGGGGGGGTGGCGGTGCTGCAGTAGTCCAGTCGATGGTTGCTTTACAAGTAGCTGTAGCCCCTAAGCGGATGGCATTCAGTTTGCTCCGTGCGCTGCGCATTATTAACAGTCACGATGTTTTTTTAATAGGTTTCATCTCCCACCCCCCATCTGCTGATCTCCTGCAGACTCTTTGCAGCCACTGCCTGTCTACTTTCACTCCAGCAATGGCTGCATGGCATTTCTCAGAGCGGATTTCATGATGGTGACAACAGTGGACCACGCCTGCTTAATGTGTGCTGAAATGGCAACTTCTAGTCTCCATTAGAAGCCTGCGTGACAACACAGAAGCACAATTGGGAGACGGGGACAGAGCGTTGTCACCCTGTAACAGGAAGTGACCTTCACGGCGGGATCACCAGATTATTTTTTAATGAAAGCTGCAGATTTAAAGACCTCGTCCCTCTTTTGCAGAAAGTGGTCAACGCAGCAACGTTGATGTGACGATCAATTTGCGATTTACTGATTTTTTTTTCCCCCTAGTGAAGCCTGCAGAGCGTCGCACCGCGCGATCAGTGCATTGCAGGTGAAGTGCGCAGGCTCTTGCAGTCCTCAGGGAGCTGCTGGATGAAGTGCGTCTTCTTCAGAGAGAGGACGGGTCGCCGTGTTCTATCAAAGTTTGTGACTGCATTAGAATGTGTGACCAGTGACGTGGTCACACATTTTAATGTAATCCCGCCCACTTTTTCGGCGCTGCAATATGTGACCGGCAGAAGGTGAAGCATTCCAACGCTTTCTCAGCTGTTCCAGGGCAGATCGGTTCTCCTGCACATACCATCTGCGATGCCGATCTGCCCTGGAACCCGAGGCGGGGAGACACCCCGTGCGGGTACCGGGTGACACCCCGCAGTGACGTCATTGCGCACGTGATGACGCCACGCGTGGTACCGCTGAGAGAGGCAAGCAGAGGGCCACAGTTTGGAGACCGCAGCGGGTGACGCAGAAATGCAGAATGATTCTTATAAACCGTTTGTCGCGCAAACATGGCCGCCGCCTGTGGAGGAAGAGCAGGTCATGTGCTCTGCGACGGACGTATTCCGGGACAATCGGTCACCTGACCTGCAGACATGACAATCGTCACTCAATCTGCAGTCATGTGATTCCAGCGAAGAGATACTTTGTATTCATCGCTATTATACGCCGCCAGAGATCGCAGCCCAGACGTGTCATCGCGGGCCCCCGGGCGCCATGTTTGTGGATTATCTCTCTCCACGTCTTTATCGGTTCCTCGCTGTTTGTTTACAGCTCCGTGTGCAGCTGAAATGAGTTTTTCCCATCTCCACCTCATCTGGATCTATACGGCGTCCGGCGTTATCTTCGGCGTGCCGTGTGACTGAAATAATAAACTCCTGTATAATATAACTTATATCTGGAGAGCGGTGATGTCACTCCCGTATAATATAACATATCTGGAGAGCGGTGATGTCACTCCTGTATAATATAACATATACCTAGAGAGTGTTGGGGGGAGGGGTCTCCTATGATGTCACGGTGGCGTCTTTCATCATGTGATGAGTCATATCCTGGGATGGGGCGCTCCTCCTGTTTACATCCTCCATACTCTTCTATGAGTGATGGCATTGTGTGGAGTTGGGATGATGAATCATATGCAGTCGCCGTGTTCGGTGGATGAGATGGGAATACATGGGACTGGAGAAACCGGGTCAGCAGGCCCAGACTGGCCCGTCCGATGTCTGTATGTCACGTATGTATGTACTCATGGAGGCTTAAAGGAACATTCCCCCCTCTCCTGAAGGGAGACAACATGGTGATTTCAGTCAGGACACAGCTGGGTTCTTTATAGGAACATTCAGAGCCGTAACTTTATTATTTTTATTGTGTAACATTTTCATATATTTTTTATGTGACTTTTGACCTTTTTTAAGTCCTCGCTGTTCCATCTGTGACCGCAGCTGACCGTCCTGTGAGCCAGTGCTGATATGGTGAGAGATGTGACTGCACTCTGCTCCGGATTACAAAGATGGTCCATGCTCCTCTGTGACGGCCCATGCTCCTCTGTGATGGTCCATGCTCATCCGTGATGGCCCATGCTCCTCTGTGACGGTCCATGCTCATCTGTGATGGCCCATGCTCCTCTGTGACGGTCCATGCTCATCTGTGACAGTCCATACTCATCCTAACACTCCACCCCACTTGTTGGAGTCACAG